CACACCACATGGAACACACACACACCACATGGAACACACACACACCACATGGAACACACACACACCACATGGAAAACACACACCACATGGAACACACACACACCACATGGAACACACACACACCACATGGAACACACACACCACATGGAACACACACACACACCACATGGAACACACACACACACCACATGGAACACACACACACCACATGGAACACACACACCACATGGAACACACACACACACACGTCCACTTGTAACCAGCCAATGGTACGAGGGATCCGGGACGGACCCGTGGACGTGTCTGGGCGCTCCTCCCTGGCGTTGCATCATACATCGGTTCCTGCAAACACCCTGACACAGTGTCACATGGCGCGCGTGTCTCTCCCACGCAGCCGCGATGGGAAGCAGAGCTCAGGCTGCTCTGGGATCAGATGCTCGACGCGCACAGCTACACATGCAGGCAACAACGGTGCAAAGTGACTTACCGGGGAGCAGTGATGGTGTCTTCATGCTCTGTCTTTGAACCTCAATCCTGACCCCTCCCAGTGAAAAGACCCCTCTCTCCCTCCCTCCCTCCCTCTCTCTCCCTCTCTCTCTCTCCCTCCCTCTCTCTCCCTCTCTCTCTCTCCCTCCCTCTCTCTCCCTCTCTCATCCTCTGTTCAAATTCGTCACATGGCTGATAAATCCCTACTCTTCCTCACTTCCTTCCTTCTTTCTTCTCCCTTGTCTTTCCCGTTCTTTCTTCCTCTCCGGTGTCTTCATGCTGCTGGAAACTGCAGACTGTCTGGTGAGACAGAGAGGGAGAGACAGAGAGAGAGACAGAGAGAGACAGAGAGGGAGAGACAGAGAGGGAGAGACAGACAGAGAGAGACAGAGAGGGAGAGACGGTGGAGCAATGGGAAGTGCAAACCAGGACACACACAGCCTCTGTCACTTTGAATGAACATTGTGCACAGTCGGCTTGTCTCTCCTCCCCCCTCTCTCTCTCCCTCCCTCTCTCTCTGTCTACCCCTCCTCCACTCGTCTCCTGCTTCCCCTCCTTCGCTATCTCCTCCTTCTGCTCCCTCGTCGCTGCCTTCAAACATGTTCAAACACCAAGACGGACTAACATGTATGACTGACACACACACACACACTTCCCTCTCTAGACCCACACATTTCATGCCACACATCCTGTCTGTTTGATAGATGTCTGATCATTTATTTCCATAAAGAAATACAAAAACTGTTTTTTTAATTTCTTTTTTATTATATATGTATATATTTTTTAGCAAATAATATGGCCTGCGTCTTAATATTAAAAGGTCATTTTGATCACTCGCAGTGGTGCAGAAGCGTAGCATCCTTTGGTTGGGTTAGATGGGTTAGATTTGACTGTTTGCGCCATTAGCAGATTTGACTGTTTGCGCCGTTAGCAGATTTGACTGTTTGCGCCGTTAGCAGATTTGACTGTTAGCGCTGTTAGCAGATTTGACTGTTAGCGCCGTTAGCAGATTTGACTGCGCCGTTAGCAGATTTGACTGTTAGCGCTGTTAGCAGATTTGACTGTTAGCGCCGTTAGCAGATTTGACTGTTAGCACCGTTAGCAGATTTGACGTTAGCGCCGTTAGCAGATTTGACTGTCTGCGCCGTTAGCAGATTTGACTGTTTGCGCCATTAGCAGATTTGACTGTTTGCGCCGTTAGCAGATTTGACTGTTTGCGCCGTTAGCAGATTTGACTGTTTGCGCCGTTAGCAGATTTGACTGTTTGCGCCGTTAGCAGATTTGACTGTTTGCGCCGTTAGCAGATTTGACTGTTTGCGCCGTTAGCAGATTTGACTGTTTGCGCCGTTAGCAGATTTGACTGTTTGCGCAATTAGCAGATTTGACTGTTTGCGCCGTTAGCACTTTGAGCTACGAGCCGCTGGTGTCACAGAGTAGCCGTTCTCCCAATCCTGCATTATTTGCTATATAGCAACTTTTGTACACGTTACAACGTGTAAAACAGCATAAAATCTACATGAGAAACAAACTGTGAAAGGTTTCGATATATTTTGATATTTGACAAGTAACTTGAAATGGTGCTTTACTGCAGATAAGTGACATGTGATCAGTCTCTGCTAAATGCATCCTAAATTATTTCTCACTACTTTTAGTTTGGAGGAAACCTCGACTCCATCCAGGAGGAATTTCACTTGCTTTATTTTCTAGGCACATGATGCACTTTTAAGCTAAAAAAGAAGGTTGTCTTTACATCGCAGCTCGTGGCTTATTTGATTAAAGTCACCAACACTGCCCCCGTTACGGATATTTTCAATTACACCGTTCATTTACCCTCCTCCATCTTCCTCCTGACACGTCCTGCCTCCTTCTTTAGTTCCATATTGATTGGGTCGCTGTGTGTGCGTGTGCAGACTGGTCCTGCTGTGGTCAACGAGGTCAACATGGTGGCCACACAGACCCCCCCATGTTCCACAGCGCCCTGCTCAGGGTGCACACAGCCTCCTTCATGCACTCAGCTGATGACGGCTGACACTGAGCGAAGGCCTGCGGTTAAACCCTCAGATGGAAGGAGGTCACCCGGGTCGCTGCAGATGACTGCAAAGTGTTCATCTGTGGTTTCTGGATATACACAATAAAATGAACAACAATCATAAAGACGTGCAGATTCCTCTCTGCAGACGATCAGGTGATCCTTCACTGACAGCCACCGGCCACACTGACCCCGAGCACCGAGGGGGGGGCAGGATGGATGGAGTGCAGGGGTCAATAGAGGTCACAAGGCAGAGATTGAGGGAGATGCACACAGAGGAAACGTTAACCAGGCAACAGCAGCCTGTTTTCAGCTTTTTGTAACATTTTCACCGACAAATTGCTGTGTTAAATATTGCACTGCCAAAATATGAAATAGTTAATACTAAAGCAAACACAGATAAATATTACTAGTTGCGTAAACTCAGTTGCCCTAACTGAGCTCCAGGCCAGAGAAGATAGCGCCATGTATTGTTCATTTAAGAGCTTAACAAGACTAAAATGGGTGGTGATCCGCTGAGCTGGAGGCAAAAGATGGTTTAGGTGCATAGGACCAGTTCTCTGCAGTGCCGCTGGAAGCAAAGTGTGAAGGCGAGGCAGCCGCGATGACACAGTAGGTGTCTGCAGACAATGCAAGCGCTGTTAATCTGTAACTGTTTCTACACCGTCGCCCTCCGGTGCATAAAACCTAAACTAGCATCAGTCCTTGAACCCAGAGGACGTTGGTTCAGTCCATCCCACTGACCTAAAACCTCTCTGTCATCGGTCCGAGGGGCCTGAGAGGTGCTGACGGGCTGATAAAAGCACCTGGAGCTCCGGTCGTTTTTAAGGAGACACAGGAAGACATCTTTACAATGTCCAGCGTGGAGGACATCCAGAGGAAGCACCACAGAAGAAGACATATTAGCCATATGGACATTGAACTCCCAGCAGGTCTGTGCGAGCTGCAAAAGAGCAGAGACGGAATATCGGTTTCTACCAGCAGCGCTGCTCAGGTCAATGCATTCAGTCAGCCGCTGCAGACTGACGGTTGGGAGGCAGATGTCGTGGGGAGGACAAACAGTCACGTTGGTGTGTAGGTTGGTTGTTGCTTTTCTATCTTCAGCAACTTGTTTGTTTAATGGCTTTTAGCAGAGCGTTTTATTGGTGTCAGCTTGTGTTTCTCACACACACCTCACGGGTTGCAGTGACCTCCTGTACGTTTTAACGTACTTATGTTTATATTGTTCATTCTTGCTTGTGTTTTATTGTTATAAACGTGTGTGGCAATAAATGTGTGCTGCTGCTCTGTGCTGCTCCCCTTCATACAAACAACCTCATTCCCCAACTTTAAATTCTGTTATTTCAAACTGCAAAAGGTAGACGTGAGTATGAACGAGGCCTTTGGCCTCAGAGGAGCGTGTGACAATAATACATGAAGACAAAAGGGGGATTAAATATCAGAGGTACAAATACTTGGTTACTTGACGTAAGTAGAAATCTGGGGTATCAATACTTTACTGGAGTATTTACTTTTACTCCTTACACTCTAAAATAGCCTCCTTACGTATAGTTCATGTCCAGATAAATGGCGTCCTCCGGACAGATTAGATTGTGGTCGGATGACAAGTACAAACATTTACCAGCAGACTCCCTACTGGTTTTCTCAGATCAGAGGGTGTGAAACGTGGTCGGATCCTTCGCCAGAGCGCTGATCTCAGTTGGTATTTAGCGACATGGACCCTCCTCCTCCTCCTCTTCCTCACGCAGATTCCATGTAACGTTTGAGGATCTTGATGACCGTGGGTTTGTTGCTTTCTACCTTTAGAGTCTGGAGCCACACAGCGACTTGCAAGCAGCGCCGTAAATAAAGTCACGTGTGTCTTTATGCGGCTTTGGGAATGAACACAAAGGGATTCTGTGTTTGCTCATAAAGTCTGAAAAACGGCTTATTTGCCGATGTTTTGATAAGCGACCGAAGCCAGTTCAGTGTTTCCATCATTATAACAGAGGTGCCCCCCATGACGTAGTGCAACGGGGAGACGCTGCAGTCCACCTGATCAATGGGACAACGTGCACGTCCTCGTGTCACTAAGCCGCACTGGAAAACGGCTTCTGCTTTTATGTGTTTAGGTTCTGCAGCACGCGGGTGGACACATTCGTCCCCCTGTTGTCTCAGCGTCTCCTCTCCGAGTATCGCCATGTTTCCATCATCTGAAGGCACCTTCCATCATATTGTAACGGACTGACGTGTTGTGTGAGCAGGTCACACATTAACAGTTTGTCCTTAATGGACATCCCCTTTCCCTTACTTTCACTTTAAGTAGTTTTGAAACCAGTACTTTTATACTTTTACTTGAGTTGATACTTTTTAAACGCTAGTATCTATACTTCTACTGGAGTAATTGATGTGAATACTTTTGACACACAAGTATTTGTTTAAAGTGGAAATTGGGTTCACAGCTTCCAGCTTAAGTTTGCTTCTTAATCTGTAAAAGAAACCGACGGCTTGTGTAAATATTTTATTGTAGGATATCTGGAGGTGAAATGCGATTCGTATTATCAGTTTGAAAAGTCAAAGCTGGATTCCAGCGCTGCAGGGAATGAAACCACTGTCCAGATGTTACGCTCCAGTCTGCTCTCCCTCCACTGCTGCCGTTTGTCCCTCTCTGTCCACTACGTCCCTCTGCGTCTCCTCCTCCTCCATCTTCAGCACCAGCCAGGACTCTTTGTGCAACCTCTCGCTCCTCTCCACCCCCTGCTCGCTGGGTGGGGGCGTGGCCCGCATGTGTGGCGGCAGATGCTTGAACTCATCCTCGTTGATGTCGTAGTCCTTCATCTTTGAGTCGAGCACCCACCAGCGGCCGGCGAAGCCCACGTCGAGTACCCGGCGGGGAAGCTCCCTCCAGGGGGTCGCCAGGCTGGAGCACTGGGCTTCATACAGGTCGGTGTCCGGCTCGTGATCCCCGCGGTAAACCAGAGAGAGGACGCCCAGGCTGGCGTGCCGGAGCCGTCCCTGGTCACGCAGCTTCACCAGGCTCTGCACGTGGCCGTCGGCGGCCCCGTTGCGGATCCACGGGGACAGCAGGCCCAGCCGGTTGGAGCCCTCCCGCAGGGCGGCCTCGAAGGACGGGCGGTCGGGCCGCGTGCGGGAACAAGCCCAGAGCCCGGCCAGCGCGGCGCCGTACGCCGAGGCCCTGAGCGGCCGCTCCCACGAGGCCACCAGCATCTCCCGACACGCCGCCACGTAGTCAGACAACAGGCCGCGGCACCACGCGCCTGGGGAGAGACACAGGGTGAGGACAGCAGAGACACAGGACATCCCATAAGGAGACAACAGATGTTTATGGACATCACAGCGAGCTGCAGATGTTCGGTGTTGGATCCTCGTCCTGAGTTGGATCACATCAGCTGGCTGATGAACGGATGTTTGTCTCTTAGCACATTGTTCAGCTATTGCTGCTCAACACAAATCACTTCGTTTCATAGAATAGACCGATGTACCTGCTTGTTTGGGCTGTCACGGTTTTGAAGTTCTTGCACAATAAAAGGCCGCAATACTTTTGAATTCGTTAATCAATTTAACGTCAGCGCATTTTGTGTTGTCGTGTCCTTTCACAAGCACCACATTGCAGAGGCGTAGAAGAGATGGAGCCCTGTGAACCTTCCTGTAGCCGCGGTAGCTAACGTTAGCTAGCTTTAGCTCGCGTTAGCTCACAGCTTCTCACCTGCTTTACTGTTCTTCAGCCTCAGCCATCGGCTGCTGGCGGCAGGACCCGCCGCGGCGGAGAACATCCTCCTCACTACACGCAACGAAGCCATCCGACGGATTATTCACCTTCACGGCACTCAGACATGCTGGGTGTCAAGAAGGCTCCTCAAATGCAACCAAAATGGCGCTCAAACGTGCATCGCTTTTAATCTTCCGATAGAAACACCTGCTTCACAATAGTTCCGCTTGCTGTCACTTGAGCGTATACTAATTATTGGGTTACTGGTCACAACATTATGCTAATATGCATTTATTCAATTAAAAAGCCACCTGATACGTAGCTCAACATTGTATTGCATCGTATGACATATTTAGATTCGCCTTTTAAAAAGGCTCACGTGACCGCCTTGTTTACGGGATGACGTGTCCGGAGATGCTAAGCAGCCCACGGAGCTCACGGCTACGAGCTAAGAAAGACAACAGCAGCTAGCAGCTAGCCAACGTTACACGGGTACGTCTTCAAACAAAGGACAGGTGTGAGACAGATATGAGGGCGGCTGAGAAGTGAAGTGCTCCGAGGACAGCTTCCACCAGCAGACCCCCCGCTGCGGTCCAGCAGCGATCAGTGACCCGTCCTAGCGGGACCCCGAGTATGTGCACCTAAGTCTTCTCTTTCCGATCACCGAAGCCATGGCCTCTCCTCACGATCTACACTTCCAAGGTATGAAGCAATGTATAGAAGTCGCATCGCGGTGTGGTTTGTACCACAGGGGACTGGATGGAAATCCATCAGTATCAACAAGTCCACTTCTCAATGGACGTCTGGCTGCTTTAGCGACGACATTCTGCTTTTACTGCAGTTTCACACTTGAAATGGCAGCTGAGTATTAGACTGCAATTTAAACACCAGTTATCACAGTTGTCTTTTCACCATCATATGGAGTCTTGCTGAGAAACCTTTTTATTCTGTCCCGGTTGCACAAAGTTTTTGTACCTGTTCAGGTATCGCGTGTCAGAGCCAGTCTGTGGTTATTGTCTTAAGAAATGCTTATTCAGATTTATTGGAGTTTGCCGCTAAAGAGCTTGTTTTAAAAGCAAGAAATTACCAAATTGACCCGACCGTGTCTTCAAAATAGTTTATTTGCTTATTCCAAATTGTGAATCTCTGACCCCACGGCCCATAAACGCAGCGCTCGTCTCCGTCACTTTAGAGACAGTCCCGTCTGTCCAGAGCACAAAGGTCATGTGACCCTTAACCCAAAGGAGCGTCGCCCCTCACAAAGCCGGACGCTGATGTTTCAACCTGCTGAACGTAGTAAATGACCGGGGGAACCAGACCGGGGAACCAGACCGGGGGGAACCAGACCGGGGGAACCAGACCGGTGGAACCAGACCGGTGGAACCAGACTAGGGGAACCAGACTAGGGGAACCAGACCGGGGGGAACCAGACTAGGGGAACCAGACCAGGGGAACCAGACCAGGGGAACCAGACCGGGGGGAACCAGACTAGGGGAACCAGACTAGGGGAACCAGACTAGGGGAACCAGACCTGTGGAACCAGACCTGGGGAACCAGACCGGGGGAACCAGACCGGGGGAACCAGACCAGGGGAACCAGACCTGGGGAACCAGACCGGGGGAACCAGACCGGTGGAACCAGACTAGGGGAACCAGACTAGGGGAACCAGACCGGGGGAACCAGACTAGGGGAACCACACCAGGTAGTTCAGGCATTAACTCCCAGTGCTTCCTGATGCCCGTCTGTAGAGTTTGAGCAAGCAGCAGAGCTGCTGTCTGCCGACCCGGGGGCCTCCACCCTCAGCGTGCCCGCCTCAAACACCGTCAGCACAGCAGGAGACGGAGGACAGGACGTAAGACTGGAGCTCTCCGAGGACGAGGAGGACCGGGAGGAGAGCTCGGAGGTGCGTGTGTGCTGCCTCATGTCGTCCCGGTGACGGTTTAGTGGACAGCAGCTGACTGATGTGTGTGTGCTTCCAGCTGTTAGCAGGACAGAAAGCAGCCGGGGGCTTCTGGACCTTTGAGTACTATCAGTCCTTCTTCAATGTGGACACGGTGCAGGTACAAAGGGTTTGTAACGGGTCGCTGTCTTTGTGTGGAGGAAGGACTTGACACCCCGTCATGTGACGCAGGTACTGGACCGACTTAAGGGGTCAGTGATGCCGTTACCTGGAAGAAACTTCATCAAAAACCACCTGAGGAGCAACCCAGACCTGTACGGTAACTACAGCGTCCCATTAACCCTCAGCCCTTCTTCTGGGTGGCTCTCTAATTGTGCGTGTGTCAAATTATGTGTAGGCTTTGCAACACAACTCTGTGTGTGTGTGTGCACACACAGGACCATTCTGGATCTGTGTCACGCTGGTGTTCTCAGTGGTGATCAGCGGGAACTTGTCCACCTTCCTCAGTGAGATGGGAAACCCGTCCTATCACTTCAGACCACAGTTCCACCGAGGTCAGCCCCCCACAGGCCCCGCCCCCTCCCCCCCCATGTCAGAGACGTCTGGGTTTCACTGCGTGTGCTTCCTCTGTCCCGCCTCTGGCAAGCAGTGACCGTAGCGGCGGTGGTGATCTTCATGTACGCCTGGCTGGTGCCGGTGGCTCTGTGGGGGTTCCTGAGCTGGCGGCAGGGGGCTGAGAGGCAGATCGGGGGCTATTCCTTCCTGGAGACGGTGTGTGTCTACGGCTACTCCCTCTTCATCTACATCCCCACCTCGGTGAGTCCCACCCACAGGCGCTCGCCATGAGCTGCTTCACACACAAGGAGCCATTAACCCTCCGTTACCCCGACAACCGGCTCTCTGCCTAACGTGTTTGATTGGCAGGTTCTACATTTAGTCTCTGTGATCTGTGAGCCGTCTGCAGGTTCTGTGGATCATTCCGTTTGAGTGGTTGCGGTGGACGCTGATCCTGGTTGCCATGGGGATCTCTGGCTCCGTCCTGGTCCTCACCTTCTGGCCCGTAGTCCGCGGTGACACCAAGTGGATGTCCGTGGCTACGCTGGCGGCCATCGTGGCTCTGCACGCGCTGCTGGCTGTGGGCTGTAAGGTGAGCGGGCTGCTGCTGAGCAGCTTCTCTCCCGGCGCGCTGCCTTGACATTAAAGCACACCGCTGGGCTTCTTTTTCAGATGTACTTCTTCCAGACAGCCGTCCATGTACCAACACCAACCCCTTCACCCCCCCCGCTCCACATGGCAGCGGCCACCACACCACGACACTGATCCATAGGGGAAAGAGGGGAAGGGTCTCTGCTGTGTTTGGACGCGTAGGAAGAAGAAAAGGGTTCCGGCAATGTTGATTATTGCTGCGTGTGTGTGTGTGTGTGTACTTGTTTGTCTAATTTATCCTGAGGTGCAATAACTCTTCATCCTGACTGTGGTGTGTTGCAAGCTCAAAATGATTCATCGCTATCTGGGAAAGAAGCAAATACAATCATTAAACCTCGCTGCGACCGTCCCCCCAGTGTTTTGGCTCTTCTCTTCAGGCCAGGCGTGATTGAGTTTCCTCTCAACGTGACCTGTGATGGAATCCTTAGCTGGTTTGATTAAGAGTGACTGCATCCCATCTGTCTAACATCTATCATCCATGAATTGCTCCCTCCGTCTATCCAACCTTCATCCCTTTCATTCATCTTTTCTAGGATGAAAAACGAGTCCACCAGTAGTGTTTTGTTCAGTCATCACACAATACAGCTAAAGTCCACGATCCCAACAGCCCAATGTGGGGGAGGAAGAGTGTTTTATAATGGTTTCCATTGATGCTGTACTAGTAGTACAGCGTCCAGCTGGTGGGAGCTCACTAACGTCCAAGGAAGCCCTAATGAGCAATAAGCATTGGTTGACTTATTGGGTACATGATGAACAGGAACACGATGTATTCTCCTTTACCACGAATATCAGTCAAAGCCAACGGATGACATTTCTTACATTATTATGAATAATAATATAAATAGTTCCAATCACACTGCTGCGCGAAACAACCTCGAACCCTTATCACGATATAAACTATATTGTGTGTATTATATTTATATAGTTTTGTAGCCGGTAGAAATAAACACAGAACGTTGAAGCTTTTACTGCACGAGCGGAAGTGTGGCTTCACTTCCGGGCACGTGAGCCGAGTGGGCGTGTCCGGGGCGCTGATGTAAACACGCTGCGCCTCCCGTCGGGTGGGTGTGAGTGCGGGATTAAGATCGCAGTGCGCGAGGAGACGGACCGCGACATGGACTTCTACATCAACCTGAAGGTGAACTTCAGGGGGAACTCCAAGAACTTCCTCCTGTCCGGATCCGAGACCAAGAGCTGGGAGTCCATGGAGGCCATGGTGAGGGGGGGTCACATCGCGGGGACGCATCGGCTGAACGGAATGGCGCGTATTAGCATACTATAGCATGTGTGTGTATAATATAATATATATATATATATATATATATATATATATATATATATATTATTATACTGCGTCCTGTCACAGATATTACAGGATGACTGTTCAGCCTCTCATCCATCCACCATGTCGTCCTCTCTCCTCCGGCTGTTCACGTCGCGTCGTTACAGTGAACGGGTGCAAATACACGATGATATCATAGCAGTTGCTAGTGCTAATCCCACAATGCGTTGCTTGATTTATTAAGACCCTTTATTTCATACATGTGTTTTATGTCTGTTATTGTCTTGGCTGCCATCGTTAACCCTCCCAGTACAATGTGCGTTTCCAGAACCTTGATCCCATTAGAACCCGCATCATGGAGCACGTTGGCCCAGTGGTTTTACCAAGGAAGGTAACAAACTACACAGTAGTAAGGAATCACTGGCCGATGTTCATGTCAAATAGCGCATTCAAAAGAGAGAAGAGACCGAGAGCTCATGTCGAGCCTATGAACATTGAAAAGAAAAAGCCTCTGTGGACACTCCGATGTCCTAAAGGGGTTAACACAGTGTGCACCTACATTTTCTGTATAGCTGGTCAGAAGACGTGACCCCCAGTTACTCATAAATGTGCACCAACGTCCGTCTGTCCAGCTGACAGCGGTCCGGATGGCTGTCAATGGGTGCATCTGTTGTAAAGGCGCTTTGGAAATACCAAAAGAGCTTCATCAAGATGCAACGCCAATGCTAACATCGTAGCTGCTCCATCAACGCCAGGGATGCAATCTGGACAGACTGTTTTGTCCTCTGGACAAATAAGATTTTTTCCCACCATTTCTAATTGAGTTTGACTTTACGTGACGTGATGTGTGCGGGTCCAACGTGGACATCCAATGATGGAGTTGCTATCCAGTCTGTAGGAGCCATACATTGGGTTTGATTATTCTTTTGTATTATTTCTTCTTTCCTTCCACACTGTTGATGTGTGCACGTGTGGTGTGACGTCATTTGCATCTACGACACCATAAGGGGGTTTGGTGTGTGTATTAGCGTGTGTCTGGTCACCTGTGGGGCTCGGCGGGTTGTTTGGAGCATGGCTGCAGGGTGAGCACGGGCAACAAAGGTTCTTTTGACGTCACCGTCACTGGGGTAATTATTGTCATTACGAAGTTTTATGCACTGTTGATCCTCGATTGACCGATGAAAGACACCTATCGAGTAAGTGATTGGCGTGTTTCTGCTGGTGAAACGTAATAAACATGATGATAAAATACGCGTCTTGAGTATAATCTCCTCATGTCTTAGCCTGCTGTGGCTTTTTGATAGTTTTTTTGTGTATAAGCCGCTATAATTTGTCATAAGATACTTGTGGAAGCGCGAAAATGTATTGTCGTGATCACACTGGATGTTTGACATCGCTTTCAAAGTTGTGAACGATAGACGTGAACGCTCATTCGACTCATGTAAAGCCCGTTCATTCACAAATTGCTGCTACTGTGCCTTTTGTAATCGCAGCGCTTCGAACGAAAGGTACATTATAAACATTGCATTGTTTGTCAAAGACTGACTGTATTCCCCGCTAGGCTTAGTGGTACTTTTGCATGAGGTGATTGTACTGGTTTGTTTGTTTTGGGACCTTTTGTAGTGTTTTTGTTTGTGCGTTAAGCGGGTGAAGCATTGCGCTTGGGAGTGCCGCCGTAGTTCTGGTTCTAAGACTGTTAGTCCGGTTCGAGACTATCGGTATTTAGGTACATAAATACCCACCGCTAGTACGCACAGAAGACTAGGGTCGAGTTCAGCTTCGCCTCGGTGGAAGTTACGGGGAATCAAAACAATGCACTGTACTATTTTCATGTGGAAATACAAATTCCAAGGCGCTGTGTTTCGGTGTCATTTGCAAATATTTTTGTGATTTATTGGATTTTCTTTTGTAAATGAAAAATGGAGTTGAATGATACCAGTCAAGTTGAGAAAAGACAAATAACACTTACACCCAAAGCTTTTGAGTATAAATTGGAAAAGCTCCAAGAAGAACGCCAAGTCAAAATAAGAAAGATTAAAAGTGCAATAAGAGAAATTAAAGGCCTAATGCAAAGTGCGGATAATGCCGAAAAAATACAGTCATGTCTTGAAAATGTATCGAGCTTGTTTAAAGAAGCAAGTCATCTTCATGGTGATGTGATTCCTATGCTCCCACCTGAAGAACAAGAAAAACAAAATGCTTGATTTGTCAGTATTGAAGAGCATACAATTGCTTTTGTAGAGGAGACAAATAAATGGCTGCTTGAGGTGCCAGACACACCAGAAGAGTGTGTAGTCGCACCATGTTTAGGATCCGTTCCCAATGATGAGGCATGTATTGTGGAAATTGCAGTAGATGACATTAGACCGACCGACAGTGTTTCTAATGTATCAGTGAAGTCGAAGAGACGCAGTACAGTAATAAGTAAATCTATGTCCACTACTTCATCAGCCAGATTAAGGGCTGAGGCTGAGACCGCTGCTCTCATGGCTCGTCAAAGAATGCCGAGTCAGAAACATGCCCTGGAAGAACAGCAGGAACTATTGAGGAAGAGGACGGAGGAGCTGGACCTGGACATGGAGCTGGCAGCGTCTATGGCTAAAGTGAGCGTGTTGAAGGCTGCAGAAGGATCTTGTGTGTCTAATGTTTCTGTAAAATCAGATGGGATAAACTCCTATTGGAAAGAGGAAAAGGAACACGGTTAAGACCTGACGCTGCAAAATTTGTTCCTGAGTTCAACACCCAACCTGCGGAGGCTGGAAGTGAAGCGTTGCTTTCGGGTTATTCGGCGGTGAGGCCTAAGACACACAACAGAATGGAGCCGCCTGCTGCTGCAACTGGGGTTGGTATGTCCACTCTTCAAGGAGGTGCGTTTCATCCACCAGTTACCCACATTCAATCTGGAGCTGAACCCGTAACAGTGAATAATTCTGATCAGCGTTTTCTCACAGTTTTGGAAAGACAAAATCAAATTACATCTTTATTGGTTGAACAACAGTCACTTTTTCTCTTACCTAAGCGAGACCTGCATGTTTTCGATGGAGATCCTCTGGAGTATCAAACCTTCATAAGAGGATTTGAACACAACATTGACGCTAGAACACAAAGTCAAAAGGACTGTTTGTATTACCTCGAGCAGTATACGAGAGGTCAGCCCAGGGATTTGGTCCATAGCTGTCAACATCTGCCCCCGTCTCGTGGATACACTAAGGCAAAGTCACTACTTCAAGAACATTTTGGCGATCAATTCAAAATAGCCTCCGCTTACATGGAGAAGGTGCTTTCATGGCCGATGGTTAAAGCTGAAGATATCAAGGCTTTGCAGGCGAATAGTCTAATGTTACAGGAATGTTGCAACTCCATGGGGACCGCCGTAAATGATCTGAATGTACCTACGAATATGCAAACCATTGTGAAAAAGCTGCCTTATAAGTTGCGGGATCATTGGAGAAGTGTGGCCGGTGATATTCAGGAGAAGTTTCGCCGTAGAGCTACATTTTCGGACATTGTGGAGTTTGTTGAGAGGCAAGTCAAGATAGCAAGTGACCCTCTTTTTGCAAATATACAAGATACACCTGTGACCGGAAGAAGGGAATTGGTCAAGTTGCACTCTCAAACGGGTTCAAAGGCTGGAGGCAGTAGTTTTGCCACTACTGTAACACGTGCTGGGAAGAAAGTGGAGTCTGGGAACAAAATAGAAAAGAACTTGCTTGTGAAAGTCTGTTTGTTTTGTGGAGCTCGGCATTCGTTGGATGTTTGTCTTTCTTTAGATAAAAAGACACAAGATGAAAAATTGTCCTTTTTGAAGGAGAACCATATTTGCTTTGGATGTCTGTGCGTTGGGCACATGAGTAAAGATTGAAGAAAACGTCTAATATGTAGAGTATGTGATTATAGGCACCCCACGTTGTTACATTTCCCTCCCAAAGCAAAACAAAAGAGTTCGACTCAGGCCAATGGTGGCTTTGAACCAGCCAGAGAAGGCGCTGTGGTGTCTGTTCAGTCCAGTTGCTTGACTGGGGCCGGTAAGCAGGACTGTACACTTTCTATCTTGCCTGTTCAGGTGAAATCCAAAAGGGGACAAGAGACCTTGGTCATGTATGCGTTTCTCGATCCGGGGAGTACCGCCTCATTTTGTACAGAGCGCCTCATGGACCGGTTCAATCTTACAGGGAAGAATCTCGGAATCCTCCTTAGAACTACGGGGCAAGAGAAAGTGGTGGACAGTTACAAGTTGTCAGACTTTGAAGTCTCCAGGTTGGATTCTGACAGCTTTTGTGACCTGCCTGAGAGTTTTACTCAAAGAAGCCTGCCTGTTCATAGAGGTAACATTCCACGCTCAAAAGACCTCCAAAGATGGCCGCACCTGAGACACATACAAATACCAGAGGTTGACGCTAAGGTGGACCTTTTGATCGGCACTAACGTCCCTCAAGCTCTGGAGCCGTGGGAGGTGGTTCGCTCAGTGAACGGCGGCCCTTATGCAATTAAGACCATTCTGGGTTGGACCGTGAATGGTCCGCTACGAGGAGATAATCAGATCCGTGACCAGTGTTCACAGCCCGACATCACAGTTAATCACATCTCCGTGGCGAGACTTGATGAGCTTTGGGAAAAACAACTGAAGGTGGATTTTCCTGAAAATATGCATGATGAACAACCTGGTCTGTCGAGAGAGGATAAGCGATTCATTGAGTCAGTTTCTGAATCTGCCAAGCTCATTGATGGTCATTATAATATTGGTTTGCCGGTAAGACAAAGATACCTTAAAATGCCTAACAATTGTAGAACAGCGTACGTTGAGTCTCAAAAGGCGCTTGAAATAGATCCATCTTTTCGCTCCGATTACATTACATTCATGTCCGGGATGCTGACTAATGGCTACGCGGAGGCAGCTGGCCCGTTGTGATGGAAGGGTGTGGTATATACCCCAC